TTGTATGAAGTAGCCAATAAAGGATGATTTGAAGGAAGAGTTTTTTGTCGAATTTCAACTGTTTTTTCGTAATACCAAATAGCCTTTTCATAATCACCCTGGCCATCTTTAACATATCCCAGCTGATTATAATAAAGCGCTTTTTGATTCTCATCAGATGTCTGTTCGAGTAATACGTTATAAAGTTCTTCAGCTTTATTAAATTGACCAATTGTAAGCAACAAGTTACCCAATCTTTGCCATCCAGTATAAACACCAGCGTCTTCTCGTATCCGATTAGTAAGTAATCGTAGTTGTTGATCATCATCCGATGTTAATTGTAGTTCAACTTGATAAAGTTGATTCTGATTGTTCATTTGTTTAATTGCATTCACTCGAAAGACAGTGTGCATTGAGAAGAGAATTTCATCTTCTTCCTTAAAATAACTCTCTTCTTTGACGGAGGCAAATGGTGTTGATTTCAAGCTAGGATCAATAGACATTATAAAGAGAATGCCCACTTTATTTGGTTCTGTTGAAGCATTTCGAGCAAAACTGAGGGACACTTCTTTATCTGTACTGGTAGACAATAAGTTGTTAAATGACATAAGTCCACCTTTTGCTTTCTGAAGTTTTTCAAAGTCTGATTTCATAAGACCTTGTCCTCGATAAACTAAAAAAGATTTTCTTCCATAACTACTGACTTGTTGTTCGTACAACTGCTGAATTTGTTGATGCAGATGACACATAAAGAAACCCATAGTAATAATAGCATCAGCGTCCAGTGTTCGAAGAGCATAATTGAGCATAGAATAGATATTGGATGGGAAAGTATACCACCAAATAGCTAATTGAGCATCATATTCTTTCTCAAAACGGTTAGTATTGATTGGTGATAAGCTGTTATTGTTTCGACAATAAGTAGTAAACTGTTGGATCGCTTGTTTATCATATTTGATATCATTGAAAATCTCCTTGAATAGTTGGGTATACATAAAAGTTGGCTCCAACTGATTCAAATTCTCAGTTGAAGCCATTTCATTCATCGTCAGAAAACTTACGGCAATTGTGTCCTGGTCACATTTTTTAATCGCTAATTGTAATGCTTGACAAATGTCTTTGATATTTGAATGGACACCTTTGATTTTTGTCCAGTTTTGAGTCCATCCCTCATGTCTGGATTTGTCACCACAGAAGATGTAAATGGCATCTAACTGTGGCATGCTATGTATTTTAGGAACCAAGTCTGGACCTAATGAGCCTGATGTTATGACAAAGGCTAGTTCGTTGTCAACCTTGTTGAGTGCTTGGATGCATTGTTCCGGTTCCGTGCATAAGTTAACATCGTTGACTACGTTCTTCAATTGAGTCAGTGTATTCTGGCAATCCTTGTTTGTTTCATCGATGTTAGGATCTACCCAGATGAGAAGGTAGTTTTGTGCCATACGTTGTCGTGGTTGGCGAATATTTGATGCTGCTGTTGATTTCGATGTTGTTGTAACATTTTCTTTCGATTTTTGTGCACCCATGTTGTGTTGAAATGTAAACTAGTTCTTTGTGTGGAATGAAGCTGATAATATTTGATTTGATAGAAAGCTAAAACTGGTATCTTCTATTTATGTGGGCAATGATTTGTTTTTTCTCGCTTTTTCGGCGATTTCGAATGTTTGCGTGTTTACGTTGTCGCTCAAGAACAAACATCACCTAGTGACCATTAAAAAGAATATTGTATAGAGCAAAGAACAGATGAAAACAAACAAATTTGTTGATAATTTTATTGAAAGAACGAACAAAACAGAAGCAAACAATTTGATCCATTTTATTATTATTCTTTCCAACTTTTTCTTGCTTTGGTCTGCATCATTACTGTAGTTTATAAATGTGTAGGCAACATTTTTTTCATCAAATATAGGTAGAAAGAGAAATACAATTCTTTTACACTCTTTGCCAAACACCATGTTAATGTTCGATGAATGTATGAAATTCATTGTGACGAGACTAATGAAAGAAACTTTGTGAAATTTTGTACATAGAGCATGCTTTAAACATTATGCCAATGAATGAAAAAGCTGTAGACTTAATATTGATGAAATTAAGATCGAAGAAACTTTTTTATTGTCTGTTAAAATAAGAAAAGTATTTGGTACAAGATCATTGAAGAGTTTTATTGAAAATAGCTTTCAAAAAGCACAAAAATAGGAAGAAACTTTTTCATAATTTGAGTGTGAAATACTATTGTTGAACAAAAAAGAAATAATATTGTATTCATAAAGGTACAAATGACTATTTCAATTGTTGATAGCTACTAAAAAAAATTAACTTTCTCAAAAAAAGAGATACTGAGGAACTATATAGTTTACATGAGAAAAGAGACTTATTGAATACTTTATCAAATAATATATTATCTGAAGTAAGATGAAAGTTTATTTTCATATTAAAATAAATAATTTGTGAAATGATTTCTTTATCAAGTTATGTGCCGTTTATTGTTTTTTATACACCAGAACAATTATTTCAATACAACATGGATGATTTTGTTGTAATACATATTGTATCTATATGGTGGTAGAAATCATCGAAAATTTCAGAAAAACTATATTAAAAACAGAATTTATGCAAAATTTTTGCTTTATCCGTTTTTATCTAATAAGTATTCATTTTTGTTGATAAAAAAAGAAGAAGTTGAATAAATATGGCAATAATCTTGCAACAGTATCCACGCATGCACCACTAGACTTATGTTCATTGCAAGTCATATTGTATGAAACTCTATGGGGAAAAACGCTGTTAACAGTATTTTCGGAGAATTGTGTGTAGCATATACTCAGATGTTCGAAGATCAAAATGAGTTTCTATCATTTTGACTAAACCAAGTCATGACTATATATACATATATCAAGTTTATATTGTACATTGCTCATTTATTTATATAATCTATTTATCTATTTTTTTTTGAATCACTATTCGCTAATTTAAACGTTTGTTGCTATTATTTTATAGAAACTTTTTACTAATTCTGACGATTATGTACTTCATATATATATGTTGTCGTAAAATATTTAATCTATATGGACTCTCTTTAACTAGTTGGTCAAATTTATTTAAAACCTTCTCAATCAAAAACAAAATTTTATCTGAATATTAATGTTTCCAGTTGATCTATTTTCAACACCTACATAGCATACTAAATTAATAAATGTTTCGTTTAGTCATCGCATTTTGGTTTACTTAATTTCCTTAATTTTTTATCAAATCAATTTGTCGTTTTAATTCAAAGGTCGCCATAATATTACCATCTAAGAAAATAGAGTGCGAAAGACGGATAGAAGAATGTACGAAGTAGTCACCGGCAATCTAAAGAGGATTACAGCCTGTGACGAACCGATCCCATCTATGTCATGTATCACTTCAACAGTAAAAGTGTTTAATTCGAAATAGGTAAGTTGATCAGATAATTAAGATATCAAACGTTTATCTTTCTTGAGAATGTGAGTGTTAGTTTGGATTCATCTTTTCTTCACCCACACCCACACTCAAAATATTTTCGATGAACTGACTTACAAAAAACAACTCTCAGAATTGCAAATTACGATATGAAGAGATCAATGTAAAAGCAAATGTACGTAAACTCGTATTTACATTGCCTGATTTTTCAGCGATACCATGCAAAATTGAAATAATGTGTATATAGAAGGATAAAATTGTCTTTTTTGATCTATTAATGTCAGTTTTTCTGGCTTGTGAACTCATTATCTTTTTTTAAGTAGGAACATTTACTCTAATATTAGCTTGTTTATTTAAAAATAAAGGTCTGGATTGAATTTATAATGTATTAGTTTCTACGGTGAATTCGTGATTAGTAAGTGTCTCATCCAAAACTTCGAGAAACAGAAATATTGCTTATGGTGTTATGTCCCAGTGTACTACAACACGTGCAACATTATCGATAAGGGTTAACGCCTTTCTGAGTTTTCCGAAAATGTCCTTGACTCCTTGATGGGTCATATCATCGGGTGTGTGCGTATGCTATTACTATTCACATTGGCACTCAGAACTTCAGTCATTTATCCACACTCGCACCTTCGAGTATCCTTATGAATTCATCTTGACCTTCATTTATTCAGCACCTCAGTCAAACTGGAAGTTGCCGAAGAAAAGACCCCTATTGTTTACGTTCTTTTATTACGAAAATCATAAAGTTCGAACTTTTCAGTGAAAACTGGATATTTCATCGCCGAAAAATCTCTTATCAGTCATCAACAAAAACATGCACAGTCATTGACATTTTTCAAGTGATAATAAAGTAGAAGAGAAAAGAAACTCGATAATACGAATAGTAAAAAGGTGAATAACCGAAAGAAACTCATAGTAAAATTTTGTTTTTATGGGGGTGTGGGCGGGTCCGGGAGTGGGAGTGTGGGTAGGTGTCGGTGTGGATGTAAGTGAGTGTGGGTGTTAAGGGTTCTTCTTCTCTCACGATCAGACACCCACACCATCAAGGACCACTGTAGGCTCAATCAAGGACGAAAAGGCGGATCCTAATGAATCCTGGGACCCAATAGGACCAACAGGATCTGAGAAAGCTGATCGGAAAAGGGAAAAAACTAGTCGTAGAATTTCCGATAAAAAAGAAAAAGTGAACTTACCAGAGAATCTTTTCAGGTGACACCTCCTATTTTGATTTATTCGTATCTGATTCAATCGAATGTATTGAGGTAGTAAAAAGCCTGAAAGACTTTTTCGTCAGAGGATTGACATAATAATAAGTTTCGTTGGACTCTGTCCGGTTATGATCAATTTTGTGGTACCTGAAGATCTATGAGAATCCAAGAGGAGCCACATTTTCTACATTGATGGTAAGTTTTTAGTAAAGCTAATTAATTGCTGTTAGGTTATAATAGACTCTGTTGAATGTAGTAGACTGAAGTAAGTTTCCACATATTCCGATATACCTATTCTACAATTTATTAGCGTTTTTCAAGATCCGCTAGGATCCATCGAGATTTAGTTTCAGTAATACTCTTAAAGGAGGGTGGGTGTGGGCGTGGCTGTGGATAATATATCTGTTGCACGCACATACCCACACACCCACCCTCACCCACATCCACACCCACACCCACACACCCACCCACACCCTCAAGATGGTTTTCTACTTATCGTGATATAATAAACAACGTAAAAGAGAATCGTAATAAAATAAGACAGTATTTGTTAAATTCTATAGATATTTAATTTTCAAGTCTACTCTTCTTTTCTTCGAACAACACCACAAACTCTATCAACATCGTCCCCTTGTCTCCTTTTATTTGCAGTTAAAATATCTTATCTTATCATTTTTTTCTTATTTTACTTCAAGACAAGCAACAGATATTTGCATCATCTTATTAATTCGTTTTGGAATAAAAATGAAACAATACGGACTCTTCTGTCTGTTAATACTCTTTATCCTTGGATTCAATGCACAAGATCCTACGACCACTTTATCACCTGATTGGAATGGTGATCCAAGTGTATGTACACACGATCCATCAACTCCAAGCACAAATGATAAGCCTCTACCTAAATTTCCAAACAAAGCAGAATTTGCACTTGAAAGCGTAGAAGTAAGACATCTTCTTAATATAACATTGCGTAGTGAATCAACTATATATCAATATATATATAATTATGATGCGAATTCATTGATTGTAAGTAAAAATCAAAATGGTTTTATCAGTGTTGAACATAGTTATTATAATATATTAAAAAAATCAACTTATTATGGAGGAGAAGTTTGTTTAGTAACTGATATTTCAACAAACAAGGATATGGGTTTGTTCAAATAATAAAACTTTAAATATGATTTTTTCTTTCATTTCTTAGATGGTGCATCGGCTATTCAATTGCAAGATATTGGTTGGCATATTCGTCCATTAAATGAATTTCTTCAATTTTCTAGCAATGATCCACAACGACCAATTATTCGACCAAAATTTCTCGGACAAGATGTCATACGCGGAATTCCAGTTGATAAATGGCAGACTTGTTATGTCGATAAAGTAAACTATCGAACAGTGCGACGTATATGGCATTTTGCTCAACAAAATTATTCAACGGCAACTGGTCCTGTTGGTGAATATGCTGTTCCAATTCAAGCATTAGTTATTGGCTCATTTCATGCACCAAATGGCACACGAATTATTGAATTTGATCAAGTATTTAATGTTCATGGGTATCGACATGGTATTATGGGAGAAAACGATGCATTATCACCACCAAAAGGTGTTTTTTGTAACCGTGATCAAGGTCAAAACTTAATATCACTTAAAGACGCTGGTATTAGTTGGCCAGATCATTTTAGTGTTCGTGTACAATTTTTAACATCACGTACGGCACAATGGGGAAGCTTTCATTTATATTATGATCAAAGTCGCGCTGATAATTCAAGACGTTTACGTTATGATTATATCCCATTTGGTACGGAAGATTTTATATCAGTTATTCACGAGTATAATGATAATTTAACTTATGTTATTGACCGTCGTATCGGTACATGTCGAATTAGTCGTGGTGTAGATATTCCAGATGTTGTTCCTTTTTATGATCCCGTTCGATTTTTTATTAAAAATGAAGCAAAGTTTATATTCAATCCACCTCAAAAGGCTTGGGAATACAATGGAGTGCGGTGTAAGAAACAAAAACAGATCAGTTTTTTTTTCTATAAATTTCTTATTCATTTATTCTGCGTCTTTTTAGCATGCCGTGATAATACTATTAATTGTACAATATTAACAACACCAATTAATAATTTTCCTGCTATGGTTGAATTAGATATAGGTTTCCCAACAGATGAAACATGGGCTTATACTAATGTCGAATATGGTTGGTCAATGCGTGCACCATACAGTCGTCCACCACCTGGTGCACCAAAACTATTCGATTATCCAGTGAGTTTATATTTAAGAATGTATCAATATCGAAATCCATCGATTGCACCGCCATTTAATGTTCTTACAGAAGATATTGAATATGAATTTTATGAAATGTCTCATGACTTGAAATCATCTGATTTCGATACAACTGTATGTTATCGCTCACTCGATTTGCCGTATCTTCACCTTGGCTTCGTACTCAAGCCAAGCAATAATACTCTCGTAGATAGCAAATATATGAACAGACGTCGTCTCGAAAACATGGTGAGAGTCACTCTGGTGACTGAGATGCAGATCAAGCAGATGCGCGTAAGCGACATAGAACTGGATCACATCCAATTTGACAATAGTGTCTACGTTTTATTCACCCTCCTTGGCCCGACGCCCTTGTCGAACAACGATGAACCGTCGGTCAATACAGCTAAAGAAAGTCTGGAGATGGCAATCAATGCGAATCAATTCTCGTTTGATATGACACTGCTAGACGATGACAGTTCAAAAATACATTTTATGGCACAGCCTAACTCTCTCAAAGTTTCACAACAATTCATGTCGATTCATGCTAGTTGGGTTTACGCTAATGTTTCCAATTGTAACGCTTCTAGCGCCAATGTTTCTAACACAAACTTGACTACTACCACTACTTCGAGCACACCCTTTACTACTACCACTACTTCGAGCACACCCTTGACTACTACCACTACTTTGAGCACACCCTTTACTACTACCACTACTTCGAGCGCACCCTTTACTGCTACTACTACTTCCCGTTGCCAAGTTCATACTGTCACTAATTCCCACACCAATGGTCAACGAATCAGAAAAGAAAAATATACAGCAGCCGCTCAAGTCGGAGGTATTATCGGTGGACTCTTTGTCGGTATAGTGCTTGGCTTCATCACAATTTTTCTCATTCGAATGCGGAACAAAAAAACACTGAATATAACTTCTCCCTCATCGGACGATAGTTTGAGCAATAAAAGCGTTCACAAGCAGGGACTCGTGCCACTTGTAAGTATGAAAGGTTTGTAAAATACAACTGATACGTCCAATGGTTGATAATTTTCATATTCATCTAATCCATATTTAACTCTTCTACATGTTGATTTTATGATGTTGTTTAAATCAAATATAAATCGTTTTTTTCATTTAAATAACATCCTTTGCTCACTTTATTTAACATTACTTCATACACTAGAGCATATTGTACTGCAATGTCAGTCACTATTGATGGCGTCGCAAACTTTATCGTGAGAATGTGCGGGATTATAAATATGCTGTAGTATATCTTGCAAGTAGTCATTCATCACTTTGTATTATATGTGTAGTTACATGTATATAATGGTACACGGGCATTTGAGCCAACGACAGATGAACGCATTAGAGAGAATGTTATGGACGTATAATTTACCTAATGCGAATAATTATTAGCATCAAAAGTTAAACAAAGCTTTTAGTCTTCTGAAACGATTCTTTCATATTTCTAAATCAAAAGTAGCGATCAGATATTATGGTCAGTCATCTATACGTTCATAATCCACATATTTTCACCATCGCGATTCTAGCTAGCACTCTTTCAGTTACAATCAATTTTGAAAAATTCGGCTTGAGTAAATCCATCTATACATATAATATCGAGTGTCCGTGAATCTGTCATCAAACCAAAGGTCAAAACTCAAAGGTAAGAGCTTGGCGGACAAAGGCAAGAGTCTTATATGATATCTCAAGCTCAAACTATACACTTCTTAATACAATAATCCAACGAATGAATCTTTCATTCTTCAAACACAGAAGAGAGAGGAGCATATCACATGCATAGAGTTCCACTAACAAAACATATGGAACTTAGAGATAGAGACAACAATATATTACAATGCACACAGGCAATAAAGACAGTCAAACATGCTACAGAGAGAGGCAGGAAGCATATCCAACTCCATAACTGTTAAAGAAAAGCCTTAAAAAAGCAACCGTACAATCTGGAACAAAACTTAACTAGTCTATCCATAATTCTATCAAAAATCTTCAAATGAAACCACATATAAGTTTGATTATAACTAAGAGATTTCTAGCTGAAATAGCGAAGGGAAAAATACGTGAATTATGAATATAAATGAATTATTATGATATTTGATCGCTACTTTTGATTTAGAAATATGAGAGAAACGTTTTAAAAGATCAAAAGTTGTGTTGGACTTTTGATGTTAATAATTGTTCATATTAGGGTGTGGGTGTGGGTGGGTGATCGTGAGAGAAGAAGAACCCTTAACACCCACACTCACCTACATCCGCATCGACACCCACCCACACCCTCATAAAAACAAAGTTTTACTTTCTCTTTCTTTCGGTTATTCACCTTTTTACTATTCGTATTATCGAGTTTCTTTTCTCTTCTACTTTATTATCACTTGAAAAATGTCAATGACTGTGCATGTTTTGTTTATGACTGATAAGAGATTTTTCGGCGATGAAATATCCAGTTTTCACTGAAAAGTTCGAATTGTATGTTTTTCGTTATAAAAGAAGGTATACCATATGAGTTTTTTCTTTAGCAATTTCCAACATCGCTGGGATATCGAATAATTGAGTGTCGAGGCAAATTCAGAAGGATGCATGAAAGTGTGTTTGGTAACTGAGGGTTTGCATGCTGATGTGAGTAGTAGTAACATACTCGCACACCCACACTCACACCCAACCACCTATACCCACACCAAATCACTCACACCCACACCCACACCCACACCCACACCCACACCCACACCCACACCCACATCCACACCCACACCCAATCACCCACACCCACATCCACACCCAACCACCTACACCCAATCACCCACACCCAACCACCTACACCCACACCCACACCCAATCACCCACACCCACATCCACACCCTCAAGATTTTTCGAAGAAAGTGGCATATTCAACGTAGATTAGATTCGAATTACGCATTCAAAATATGTCTCTAAGTCACATAGATAAAAAAAATATCGCGGAATACGACAAAGACAACACATTTATTTATCAAGGTGCGATGATAAGGATGCATTTTGCCACTATTGCCTCCAAAAATTGGCGTCACTATCATTGCCACCTGTGAAAGATAAAGAGCAAGTTTGTTATATGCTTATGAAAATCGATAGAGTTTGCCGAATCAGATGAAATACAGCAAAAAAATGTTTTATCCCGTTTAATAATTAATGAAATGCAGATTTTTCTAGTTAAAGTCGACTTGCAATATCTATTTGCATTTTACAGCTATTCTTAACAGGTTATCTTGCGTCCTATATTTAAATGCATTAAAAAAATATTTAGTTACGATTTCACACAGAGGCTTGATAAGCATCTGATCAGAAGAACGAGATCTTGATTTAATGGATTGACTTATAGTTTCAGCAATGAAAAGATAGTAAATATCTTACATTTGTGCAAAAAATATCAACTATCAAATAGTTTATTAAATATCTTTATCCTGCAATTATTTTTAAAGGAAATAAACTCTGTTATATAAAAAAGTCAATCAAAAAAAACGTTTCAAAACAAAAAAGCCACCGACTATACCGACGAAAAGACCCAGAATGATGAATCCAATCCAGAAACCAGTGATTAATGGACCCGAGCTCAGGTACACTATGTCAATGTTTTGATTAAGATTTTGTTCAGTTGTTGTATCAGGACATTCCTCAGGATTTTGACTTCGAGCAAAAGTTTGATTAAAACATTGGTTAGAATTTTGATCAAAACTCGTATAGATGACATGGAGCGAATTGATTCGCGCTCGTAAAATAACTTCTTTAGTACCGTATTTTGCTCGAAATATCAAGGCATGTGCATCTATCACTGCACGAAGACGTTCGATAGCTGTAATGAGCGATGGTTCTTGTAAGAGAATTTCTACTGGTCCTAGACGCGGTGGTACATCTAACAGTGTAAATGTTACTGGAAGATCCTTGCCATCGCGATCGACAATGATGTTAGAAATTCGAATGGATCGCACCTGAAGAATAGTTATCAGAGTTTGCCAAATTGTATGTCGTAAATGATCAATGTTCTCCTGCACTGGATACTCATTATCGTTTGCCACAGTAAACGAGATTACACCGAGATTGTAGTTTTCTACAAATTATAAAATACTTGAAAGTCTTAAGATTTGTTGTATCTAATAACTACTTACCTTCGGGACCCAAGGCACGATAACAATCAGCCAACATGTGATCAATTTCGAAGCTTGTCATTTGATTACGACGAAAGTTAAAAATGTCTTTCAATTAATAACAAAAAACAAAATATTTAATATAGACTAGTTTCTATTACTTTCTTCAGCTGTAAATACTGGGATACCATTAGCATAATTTTTCAAAACCAGTTTCATTGGAATCGAATGTATTAAAGGTTCACCATGTATAGCTAATGCCCAATACAATTCTCGTTGTTGAACTATATTGTTTGTTAACAGTTTTTCACCGATCCATACATGACACCAAACGTGATCACCACATGGTTTTTCACCAGTATAGTGATACGAACTATCATCCATTAAAAAAAAATGTTGTACGGAACTCATTTGTACGAAACTTGGCTTTCCATCCACCACTATAGCATCATTATCATTTAGGGTTATATCACGAACAATACATTGACCTGTTGTACTATTATAGTGATAGTTGAGGCCAGTTACAAAATCATGTATTTCAGAGGCATGTAACCACTGTAGTCCGCCTAATGGATCAGGATACCAAGTATCAATACGAGTAAATTGAAAATCATTATCATATAAACTGTGTGTACTAAATATTGAATTGTTTAAAGTTGGTATAAACGTTTCAACATTTGTGCTAACTCTATCTGGAATATTTGATGGTACAGGAAATGTTGATGTTCGATTTGGACAAAATACACCCGTTGGTGTTTCTAATGCTTGACGATCTTCACGTCGACTGGGATTCGGTGCATAATGAAAAACATTGTATGTATAGGATTCTATATTTTGACGTGGATTTGTTACGGTTACATCTATTTGTAAAATAATACTTTGGTTTGCTGGTAAATACGCTTGAAATTTCTCGATATCTGATACATGATAAGTAGCTGATACTGTTGCTTTAATATCATCTACATAAAAACATGATTTAAATCTGTTAGCAGGAATACCACGTAAAGTTTCATCGCCATCATAACGAAGTCCCCAGTGCAAATTCCATTGATTACGTGCATCAAAACCAAGAAGAACTGATGGTTTAAGAATAAGAGTATCTCGTCTAACAACGCTTGTTTCTGATTGAGGAGCTATAACTTGTCTCGAACATACAGGTATTTGTTGTTGAGCAACCGTAGAATATGTTACTTCAAACTGTTCATTAGTTATAAAGTTAGAATAAAGTTGTATTGTACCTAGTAGAAAAAAAATTTACGAAGTTATTATAAAAAAATAATAACTACCCAATTTCGAACTCGTTGCGATAGTATCGCGTAATGGCGAGAAAGCCTGTGATAATTCCATTACTCCGTCTTTCATAACCAATTCTGTCATGATTTGGAATCGTTGCGGAATGGACTGCCACTCTGGATCTGGAAAGGGTGAAGACGGCCCATCGGGACATACTCTTGGATCAAGCTGAGCATGGTTTATACGGCTCAAAATAAAAACAATACCTACTAGGTATGCTAGTAGTCGAAACATTTTTCAAATATACTCTTCTCTTAGCTTAGCTAAAATAAGCACTTCGATAAATCTTTTAATAACAATAATAATTTCGGTGAAATGAGTTTGTATGATAAGAAGAAAAAAGGGTATTTAATTGCTCGTATTATCTATTAAACTGAGACACTAAATAAGCAACACCATTTTTTTTCTCTTAGATACCCGTTTTCTTTTACATACAAAAGACGTTCGACGTAGATTGTTATCTATTTAACAACAGGTATCTTATCACATCTCTTGTTATTTGTTGTTTGCTGTACGTTCCTGTCCACCTATTTAAACATACTCGGAAAAAAAATGAGAAAGAAAGCTCTCCACTTATTCTGCATTGGACAACACTTACTGCAAATACAACCACCAGTCGACAGATAAGATGAAAATAAATGAGAGTGTGTGTATGAGTGGGTGTGAGTGGGCGTGAATAAGGGTGTGGGTGTGGGTGTGGGTGTGAGTGTGAGTGTGGGTATTGGGTGTGGGTGGATCTGCGTTTGGGTCTGGGTATATGTATTATATCCACCACTCACACTCAGACCCACACAGACCCAATTCAATATTATATCAAACCCTTTCATGTTGATTACCATAATAAAAAACCTGAATTCAAAGTATTTTTTCACTTTTCAGCGAAGTGTCTGGCATGAAATTGTCCTATTAAAAGGTCTTTGATCTTACAAGGAACCAAAATATAGCAATCGTTTAAATATCAATGTGAAGAGCCTATGCCGAGGTGCAAACCTAGCAAAAAGAATCCCCTCGAAAAAATTTGCTACTCTACCTTTAATTTTGTAGACTAAAATTGATCGGAAAAAGTACGTTCAAAGATCATTTTCCCACACTGACATATGCTCCTGACTGTCGTCTACTGAACCCTGAAAACTGCAGATCGCTATGACTTTCCACTCAAAAGTTAGAAGCTTTTTTTCCACGCGCCTCTTTTAAAAATTGCGATAGCAGCCTTATTTTCGATAATAGAAAAAAAGGAAAGATCACTGTTGATATATGTAACTCAGCATATTACTAATATCACCATGATAAACTATCTACTGGATCATATTATATCGACTTTCATCAATATGTCAGATATATCAATGCAAAAGCAATAATCTAAGATAATATTTATAATCAAATGAAAGCAGACGCTCTATTTTACTATCATGAAAATGCTTGACTTGCATTGGAAGAAATCAAACAAAAAGTGTATATTATATTTTATCATCTACGATTTAATTAATACGAATATTTATTATTTTACAAATTTCAAAAGAAATGATTATTCCATCTGATTAAGATACATAGCAAAGCACTATCTGACAATATCATTATAATAAGAGAAAAAACAAAAAACTCGTTAGATGCAGAAAAAAAAGAAAAGAGAAAAAGATCGCTACAATATTCACAGCAACCCACATTGCATTTGCATTAATAGAAAACAAAAGAGAGATTCAATATAAGACAAGATTAAAAACAAAAGATACAATTCATAAACTGCTGATATATATTCTATAATACTGTATTGAAAGTAAAGATTAATTTGATTAAGCAGCTAAAAATAAACCAAAAAAATGGATAAAATTCTTATATAAAAACTCTATTTACTTGATGAATTGCCATCAAATTGAGCAAGTGCTACACGTAGTTCTTGTAATTCACTTCCGATAAAATCATAAACCATTGCACGTGATGTATTATTTTGATGACGTTGTTTTGGTGGTAATGGTGGTTGATAATCATCATCATCATTAGCATCTTTAGGTGGTAATTGATAATGTTCTAAATGAATTAATTCATTATTATTATGTTGTTTATTAAAGAATGATTTTTTTATTGGTATATGTTGTTTAGGCATAAGCATAGGTGCATCATCATCAGGTAATTCTGTTCGTTTTGATGAACAATTTTTCTTTGAATCAACATTAACATAATTATCATGTTGTATAAACGGTTTTTTTATTTTTGTTGGTGATGATGATAATTGATCATTATCTAATAATGGTTCATCTTTTGTTAATTTCTTTTTTAATGGTGCAGATATTTTTTTCTTATCTTCTTCAATTGGAACATTATCATAACCAGTTAATGGCATTGTTGCTTTTTCATTATTTTCATGTGCACTAAAAAATAAACAATATAGAAAAGATTATGTTTGTTTTTTTTTCGTACTTGACTGATAATGTTGTACCATTTGTGTCACTTTTTGGAATTGGTCGATATATATCTTGAAGTTGAGCCTTGAGAAATAAAAAAATGATTAAACTATTGTTTTGAAACAAAGAAAAAATGTTACTTTTTTCGGTGGTGGTTCTGGACGATTTAATGAATGATGTCCATTTGTTACGAGTTGACTTGAACTATTTACCGATGAAGTAATTGGTGTATCGCAACTAAGAAAAATAAAATATTCGAATGAATACAAAATAGTTTCTTGACAGAAAAAATATCAATATTGATTTTTATATCGTTTTGATAATAATTATCAAGATCTGCACTATACACTTAAATAGATTAGTTTTATGTAAAGTGTTTCGTCAAAAGTCAAACATGCAATAATAAAATATAGCTCTTTTTCAATTACACTTTTCATGGCGGAAAAAAAGAATCAGCTCGTTAAACTGTAAAAACTGAAACATATGCATCATTAAGTAACTTTTTCCTAATAAACTCAATTGACAAAGGATGATATTCTTACAATGATTTTGATCGTTCAATTGTAAGATAACGTTCTTTTCTTTGAAGTTCATGTTTTCCAACTTTAAGTTTAACGAATTCCAAAAATGCTTTTAAATCTTCAAATGGTGTTACCTATGAGGAAAAAAACAAATACTTATCAATAGTTCTTTTGATCATACTTGTTTACAATATTCTTCAATCGGATGACTTCCATCATGTTTTTTTGCATGATCACCCGTAAAAAAACAAGTTTGACAAAGATCATAATTAAAACATCGAAGACATCGATATCTATTTAACAAAAAATATTCTTATGATCAAGAAAATTTCTCTTTTTTACCGCATTCCAATAACAGGATATGCTTTACATGTATTACATCGTGCTTCATGTCGAACTAAAACAAGTTTTTTTATGTTATATAATAACTTCTCTCTCTATAAAATTACCTGTTTCCGTTGCAATTAATCGATGTAATGTTGGTAACCATACTAATGTTTGTGGTTCTCGACTCATCCAGTTAACAAATATATCTTCTCGAATAATTCCATCATGTGTCTAATTATATGACATAGATAATTTTAAACGAAAAAAGATTTTTCTTACATGATCAAGACAACTTTGAACACAACCTGGTATATTATCTGGATGAAATGAATCGACATTATCAAAATGATTAGGTAACTAAAATAGAATGAAAGTAAAATGCTAAATCAATTATTCTTTCTTTTCATTACTTTTAATAATATTTCAAATAATTCAGTTAATTTCCCTTGTGATGCAATAACATTTGGTGAAGTTATTTGTCGAAAAAAGCCTATACATACAAATCAAATCTTACTTTTATTTTGTTTTTTTAATACATACAACGATATTTTTCAGGCAATTTTGCATTTGATAATGCAAATAAAAGAATTTTAAATGCATTATGATCAAAATCTTCATTTATTTCACTGAACACAAAAACAAAAATAAGTTAAGAAAAGCCCTAATCTAATTATCTTACATATGAAGAATTTCACAAAGAAATCTTAATAATGTTTCAATAATTTCATCCATCGTTGATTCATTAAAATGATAGGATGATATCAGTTGATAAATCGCTATTAAAACTTTTCGTGCATCTTCATAAGATATTTTCGATGTATCAACACCAAATTGTAATTGATGCGTATTAAATGCTCGTACAAGAATATTATAATCAACATATGTTACTAAAAAAATTCTATTATAAATAAATAATTTTTCAAATTAAAATTTACATTTTAAATATTTTTGTATTATACGAAGTTTACATGCTACACGATAAGCAGCAAATTTAACTGCTGTTATAGGTTCTAAAACGAAATAAAAATTTTGATAAGAAAAATAAATTTTTATGATCATGCACAAACCAAGTCGTTTAATAATTGTATCATATAACTTTTCATTCGAACTAGAAATAAATCGAATAGATTATATGATTAGATATTTATTAAATATACTCTTTTTCATCAGTTGTTTCAATTGTTGTATTGGTTTCTTCAACTTCTGTACTTGTCATTGCTCGATTGAACGATTGAATGCACTATGCCTTTTTTTTATTGAACAGTTATAAACAGTTTGTTTATTTATTCTATATGAACTGTATCGTTAATTATATGAAGATAATAAAAATTCGAAGTTTCATCATAATAAAAAAAATCGTTTTTTTATTTAATTTATGTATTGTAGAAAATGATTTGAACTATATAGTTCAATTAATACATCAAGCGACATCTTGAGTAGAGTACTGTTGCTTAGTAACAGAAAAGATGAACATTTCGTTTTTTAACCACTATAAATCATTATTCATCAATCACATTGGAAAAGAAATGATAAAGATAACAATAATCTATGAATTAATTCAAGTTCTGTTTTGCATTTCTTTCATTCGCTATAAATTTTAAGTTTTTAACTAAACTAATTAAGTTAATTACATAAAATGGTTCTCTGTATCACGTGTTAAACTCAACTTATCATTCAAACATAGTCAGTTTAAAAGAACAATTTCATCGTAAATCATCATCTCAATTACAATGATTGAAACAAGAAATAGTCAACAATTGATAAAGTTCATAGAATACTATAGCATAAGTTAAAACTCTCATATATATATAAAATTATAAAGATAAAAAAAGAGAAATCAAATAACCTTATGCTTCAATAGAGCTATTTGTATTTGACTTGACAAACGGAACATGAATCTACAGAATGAAGAACGTGCTTTTGTTACTGAACAATTATCATATTTTTTTTTGTTATATGTAAATTTCTTTCTGAATAAATGTATATATGTATATGAACAAGACAAGAGCGACAGTGCTCATGTCAGCTAGATGTATTTTCATCTTTATGTTGATTGAAAGACGAGTAGTTGTATTTCGTATATATATATACATCAAGCATCGTCTATTTACTTGGCTTTTGTCTCTGTCATCACTACCACCATCTGTACACAAAGTTCTTTACTTGCTTGCTTTTCGGTTTATTGTCTTGTGCGTTCGATATATATATATATCTCATTCTTTTTTCTCGTCTCTTATTGCTCTGTGTTTGTGTAGACCAAATATGTCCCTTCTCTCTCTCGCTCTATATCCCCTCGTCTTGCATTTATTCGATTTTTTTAGTTCTTTTATTCCTTCCTCCTTCAAATAAATGTATTGTCGAAAAAAAGAGTATATATAAATATATACCTTACAATATCATACTACGCTTGTGGCTCAGTATCTTCTTTAATTAAGATGCATTCAACTGCCATCGATAGTACTGGCAAGTTATTTTATTTGAAGGTATGCTTTATTTTATTTCTTTTTTTTTTGAAATTGGATCTACAAGTAGCAAAATACAGAATGAGAAAAACAGCAGTATGAGTCGACAGTGTAGTCAAGGTAGAGAAAGCTGTCTTCTTTTTTTTTATTCATTTTACTTTTTTTCTTTCTCTTTCGGTTAACTGTCTTTACTTTCTTTTTTTTTAAGAATAATTAAATCGACTTAGTTCTAACATTGTCCTTTTCTATATTCTCATCATTCTTCTGCTTAGTTGTATATGTCATTACAATTAAAAGATAGCATGAATCAATAGATTAGTAACAACTAAGTATCGAAAATTACGAGAAAAAGAAGTGGGCAAGCCGTCGATCAATTTATTTTCCTGCTGTTGAAATCGATCGTAAGTAAAGAGAAAAAAAATTCGTATTCAAAATGAGATGCCCGATATGCCTTATCTACATTGGTAAATATATTCCTATGTGTGTGATGCTTGATGATCAGATCGATTATGCAAATCACAAATACACTAGAGTATATATTTACTAAAGAGAATTTTTCTTTTTTATTCAAAACTAATCTTATCAAGAGATATTTGAAAACCTATTATATGGATTTGATATGTCATATATTAATATTATAGAATTTATATCTTATCTCTTAAACGTTTTTCTTTTATAAGACATAAGAAAGAATTCTAATTAGAAGTAACAATGATGGCCATCGTAAAAGACGGAAACTGACAGTTAGACATGTTCATACATATAATTTTACATCATAATTATTTCTCGTTTTTTTTCAATCCTGTTTCACTATATTATCATCATTATCGCTTCAAATAGACATGTATAAAAATTCTCGTTATCATTATGTGTTTCTCGACATTTTTTTTAAAGCTATTTTAATAAAATAAAATGACAACACGGACAGGAAAGAAGTTTTCTTTCTTTTTTTTTCTTAAATATTTTTCTTCGCCATTCATTTCTTTTCTTTTCTTCCTATTCATCCGTTCTTCATCTCAATTTCCATAGAACAAAAAGGAGGTAAAATATAGCAGTAGTAGTAATAGTTATTAACAAGGAGAAAAAACACTTAGATTTAACGGTGAGTGTTTAATGGATGTTGTGATTATGATAGGACTATGTGGTCCATTCTTCCGTCTTCCTGTTTTATGTATATTTGTGTCAACAAGAAAATCCTCATATGAAATGAATAAGAAATGAGTACCCGTTTCCGATCCATATGTTGAGCACTTTCATCAAGTGCGGATAAGATCGATTGTAAACGTTTAATCATAACGAAAACAGTCGACCTTTTTACCTAATAGAATAAATGAGCAGATCGGATCTCTCATATACTTTCTTTTTTTTGGGGTATTCATGTTTAACTTGTTCTTATTTGTGGATATCACATTTGAAGTTATATTGTTATTATTGATAATTTTTTTTATTATTGAAATTTGATGAAAAGATAATAAGTTTTATATACACACTTGAAAATATTTCGTGTGTCTTATTAGTTTTTATTGATGTCGGCAGGCTGTTTTATGATCAGAAGATCATTCAATTGTTTGGTTAATTTTGTTGAGAGAATAGAGGAATAAAATGTTAAAGAATATTTTTTTTTATACGATCATAAAATAAAAGCGAACAAGATTTGTATTTACAAATCTGAAAAAAAGTGTAGAACACAGAGAGAGAAAGAAATAGATTGACAGGTGTGTGCTGTGTATGTGTGTGCTCTTTCATCTTTTTTTTCTTCTTCCACTAGCTATATCATATGTATGTGTATGTGCGTAAAAAAAAGAGAGTGTGTACGTGTGCGACATAAAAACAGAAATTCTGACAACATAACGAGAAGAGTATTTTTTACCTTTTTAAATAAGTTAATTCAGACTTCATTGTAACATAGTTTACCGGTAGCTAAACGTGTTTTTAATAGCATAGCTATTTATTCTCATTAGGAATAAAACATATTTTATATATTATCAATCTTATAAGTTCAGAATGAATTCTCTCTCGTTTATACAACTTAATGATTATGTGAACGTCTTATTTTAGAGGTTATTGATTAATAAAAGAGTTTTTGTTGTTTAGATTTCATACTTAGAATTGACCCAATTCACTTCTCTTACTCTGTTTATTTAGTATAATTAGGCTAAAAGTAAAATTAAGGAAAGACGACGACGACTAAGCCTATAACAAATGAAAGAACATATTGTTTCTTAATCTAACAACAATCTTCTCCTTTTTTTTTCTTCTTATACCGACAAAATATATGACCGGGAGCTA